TCATATATGAAATCCTTCTGTCCCCCACCCAACAAATAAATAAATATCAAATGGTTTTCCCCTTTTTTAACACAAGTTTAAATTGATTGATTGTTTGTTGCTAATTTTAACGCCCAGTGAAAATTATTTCATGCTTGTTCAGGAAAACACGAGTTTAGAAGTCACGTATATAATATAAAAATAAAGAGATGGAATATGATTGCTAATAAGGCAACTATATCCACCGGAGTTCAAATATGAAGTGGATGTAAGTAATTATAGATAAGATAAGATAAGATAAGAAAAATTTATTTTAAGTCGGGTTACATGAAATACTACAAACATAAGGTCTGTAGAGCTTTTTGCCGTCATGTAGACAAATGCTTTTTGTAGACAATCGTAAGGTCTTCAACAATGACAAAAGCCTGATACTGTAAAGTCGTCTATAAAAGGCCCGACATGAAAAGTGTGAACAATTCAAACGAAAAAACTAACAGCCTAATTATACATAACACAACAATTTAGAAAATATCAAATACGAGTCGAGACAGGAACCAACGACAACCACTAAACTACAGGCTCGATCCCTGGGACAGGCAAATAAAGAATATGGCAGGGTGGATATAAAAACGAAGATGTGGTATGATTGCAAATGAGACAACTCTCCACAAGAGATCAAATGACACAGAAATCAACAGCTATAAGTCACCGTACGGCCTTCGACAATAAGCAAAGCCTACACCGCATAGTCAGCTATAAAAGGCCCCGAAATCAAAAATGTAAAACAATTCAATCGAGAAAACTAACGGCCGAATTAATGTACAAAAAAAATGAACGAAACACAAATATGTATAACAAAGCAGCAAACAGCAACCACTGAATTACAGGCTCCTGACTTGGGACAAGCACATACATACAGAATGTGGCGGGGTTAAACATGTTAGCGGGATCCCAATCCTCCCCCTAATCTGGGACAGCGGTGTAACAGTACAACAACATGTTTGTGAGCAACCCATCCCGAAGCTGGAACAGTGGTGTAACAGTACAATAAAATAACAAACTGCACAAATCACCAACTTAACTCAAAAGATCGGTACGAGACACACAAAAAAACAAACATTAAGACAAAAGACACAAAGCACCGATATAAGAGTATTTGCAATTACTGGAAGTTTGCTCAAACCTAATTAAAACTGGTACTGAAATAAATCTTGTTCTCCCAGACTGAGTTATCAATCAGTACACAACGCGTGGCAAAGGATTTTCAGTCTGAGAAACGTCTGGTTTACGTTGTATATAGATATAAGAAGATGTGGTATGAGTGCCGATGAGACAACTCTCCATCCAAGTCATAATTTGTAAATGTAAACCATTAAAGGTCAACGTACGGTCTTCAACACGGAGCCTTGGCTCAAACCGAACAGCAAGCTATAAAGGGCCCCAATAAATTAGTAGTGAAACGGGAAAACCAACGGTGTCTAATTTATTTAAAAAAAAAAACGATATACTTGCATATAAATCCATATACAATGTCACGGTTTTTGAAAAGTGGACCGAACGTTTTGACCATCGAAATTTTGCAATAGAAATACTAGTTATGACCACAAGATTTTAACAGCCAGTGCAGGACTCGCACGAACGTTAGATTTAGTTAGAGGGGCGATATTCTGACGCGTTTTTTAATTCTTGGTCACCCATGTTTAGAAAGAAAGGGGAGAAATCCAAACAATTTCCGACCAATCACAAACGTTGTTGCAAATTTGACCTTATGACGTCAAAGAATTTCCCAGAATGCAATTATTGCATATAAATAAAAAACTACTATACCAATTGAATAAAAAATATTGCATTCAAATGACATTCTATACCAATTGAATAAAACTATTGCATTTAAATGAAAATTATACCATTTGAATGAAAAATTATACCATTTGAATGAAAAATTATACCATCTGAATAAAAAATATTGCATTTAAATGAAAAAATATTGCATTTAAATGAAGAAATATACCAATTAAATAAGAAATATTGCATTTAAATGAAAAATATCTAATTTTTGCAACCAATACCATGCCGTAGTTGTAACTATATATATGGGGGTCTGTATGTGGAGTCCTCCAATTCTGTGTTGTTAATTTCTCTTTATTCTTTATATTTTAACACCCATTACTTTTTATTCTTTATTTGTTTGGTATATTTTTCTTGGTCCATATTTCTGCAATTTATGCCACTTATTCTCTATTTTTTTAAACCCCATCCAGACCCTTATATATGTATGATAGTTTCGTTGGGATTTACAGAATAGTGAGTAATGGGCCTAGACTAGAGAAAAATTTACTAACTGCAAGCAATCTTTTAACAGAACTGTGTGTGGAGTCTTGTTTTTGTTTTCTTTGATGATTATGCGTCGTGGCGATCAGGTGTATAATCTCTTTGCAACTAATTTTCAAAGTTTATAATCCTATTGTGCTGTTTTACTTATTTCAAAGAGAATTGAGCGCTCACAAGCAAGTTAAACCCAAGCGATTCATGTATGTGCTTATTCCAACGAAGGAGTCTGTCATTCAACGGTTTCTGTCTTATATATTTGCTTTTCATCTTTTGCTTTTAATAAAATCAGGCTGCTGGTTTTTTCGTTTGAATTGTTTAATTTGCATACATTTTTTTTGTCATCTGGTGGTCTTTCATATCTTAATAGAAATGTCCAAGAAAATGACTAAATTCGACATAACAAACCTTTCGTACCGTATCCTAATCTATTAATTGAAGCATGACGTAGGGGAGCATAGACTGCACGGATATTTTTTATCTTTGAATACACATGTGTATTTTAACATCATTGCTCGCATATTGCATTAATGGAATATTTGACGTTTAACTTTGAATAACGTCTGAATATTTCATTGCAGTTTTGTAAAGAAATTTTTTTTTTTGGTTTTTACACTATCTATTAAATAGATACAAGAAAATGTGGTATGAGTGCCAATGAGACAACTGTCCATCCAAGTCACAATTTGTAAAAGTAAACCTTTATAGGTCAAAGTACGGCCTTTAACACGGAGCCTTGGCTCACACCGAACAGCAAGCTATAAAGGACCCCAAAAATGACTGTTGTAAAACCATTCAAACAGGAAAACCAACGGTCTAATCTATATAAAAAACGAGAAACGAGAAACACTTTTGAACCACATTAACAAACGACAACCACTGATCATCAGGTTCCTGACTTAGGACAGGTACAAACAAATGCAGTGGGTCAAAGTATACACATTTTATTTATTGTGGTCTGTGCGTTCGTCCGTATGTCTCGTTTTTGAGACATTTAAACAAAAAAATATAATAAACCAAGTTAGGGTTTTGACCAGAAATAGTAGTCCACCAAACATGTGATATTGTGATGAAGCAAGGTGTCCTGGTATCTTGTGACATTTTTGGGGATGATTACTTTTGGTGGATAATTGATATTTTTTGGGAAACAAAAGCTTTAGACGATTATGATTGAAAGAATTGTTCCATACTTTTTATAGAACACCGCAATATACTCACGGAGCTGTGATGTTGTTAATTCAAGTAATATTTGAAGTGGGAACGTTAAATTAAAAGTCACTTGTACGTTAGTGACACGTTCTTTGCACATCAAATCACCTTGAAACAACTCTCTGCAAGTTTCGTAGTAGGCCTGTTGCAAGCAATTTTGTTGTTGCTATCCTACGTACTGTTTTTTCAGTGTCAGTCAATATGTTCTGCCCTTAATCCAGAACGTTCAAACTACTGCTACGTTAAGCATACAAGCAACAATCAATCAATCAGTTTGTTTTTCTTTATTTCTGTTGGGCTCTTTTTCTTCTGACACAATTCATGTTTGGAGATACCTGCTTGTTTGAAATGAAAACATGCATACAAGATCTATTTATAGATTTTAAATCTCTGTATCCGATACAAGTCGCATCAATAGGAAACAAATGAAAACAACACGTTGTAAATTTAATGCGTCCGAAGCGCTTTTCTGGATTTACATTCATCAGGAACGCTCACAGCCGAATATTTGAAAGCCAAGGATGTATTATACCGAAACAGTCATACTCTGTCGAAAACAAAAATATAATTAAAAAAATGGGAGATGTGTTCTTGGAAAACTTATTTCAGACGTTCTTTTTGATACAAAACACAGCTCCAACGTTGATGAACATATTTCTGTGATAAAATCTGACAAATAAATAAACTTAAACAAGAACATACTTTTACAAAATCAAAAGCGTTTGAATGATTAGTAGTTTTTTTTTCAACTTGATAAATCAACTTATATATACATGATTTACTTATTAATAGTAACATCTAGTTGCAATACATCAAATATTATCAGGAGTGTAACCTGTTGTATATTTAAGTTAAACATAACAATAAATTGGTAGAATAATATTAATTGAATTAATTTCTGCATATTATTTTTTGTGGCACAACTTTCATATCTTAAATTGATGTTTAAACGTTTCACTTGCATAATTTTAAAGATAAAACAATTGACTTGTAATTTTTCAAACAAAGAAGAAAATAAGATGTTATTAAAATTTATGAAACATAGTATGTACTCCTTCGTAATGTCACATGCATATTGTTATAAGCAAAAGAAATTGGCGACTTTCATTCAAATATATATGTTCCCTTCAGACGAACATTGTTGATGTTATACTTTTCTTTTGTCATATTTGACACGATTGAATGTGTGCATGTTTTTTTTTAAATTTTGTATCCATTGATTTGAAATATTAGCGGTTTTTATTACGTTTCAATACAAGGGGATTTGATCTACTGATAAATGAACTTCAAGAAAAAAAAAATGAAAATGAACCTGTATTCAAATATATAAGTAATCCTTTAACAAATTTTGTTTAAACAAATGTACAAAGCTCTTTATGTACCAAAGTAATACATGCTCATCCCGACAGTTACAAACTGCTTGACATTTTAATGTTAGTGAGAACACTTATGTTATTAATACATTTCACATGATGACATGCTTTTGAGTGAAAACATGTATATCTTAAGATCTATCTATCAAGTGAAATCAAAATAGAAATGTTAACATAAGATAGTCTTATAAGTTTAAGTGTTGAATTTCACAGGTTGGCATACTTAGTTACTTCAATAAACCTAATAGACAAAAAAATCGGATATTATATAATCACGTACAGTAGGCGATTGGAGAGATATTTGTAAGCAGATTGCATAAATCAAACAGGTAAATATATATTTTGATTGATAAAGAGTACCCATATAAAAGGAAAACAAAGCAAAGCAAAACAAAACAATCATGCACGAATACAAACGCCAAATCAAGATTACCGCAATGTACAATTCACTTAATCATGTTACCCGAATAATCGAATGTTGTTTAGGTGTTTACTGTATCTTATATTATTATGTTAAATGTTTACCATAACAAACAAAATAGTTGACTGCAGTTTATCGCAACCGATACAATTTCCACAGAATATTTAACTGAAAGGATAATGTAGCATTTCACAGAAAGGAAAGGAAATTAAAATTGACATTCACAATTTTTTAAGATGTTTTTTTAATGTAGAATATACAATGCATTTATTAATAATAGATATTCCTGAAATTGTTTGTTGGTTGTGAATGTGTCTAGTTGGGTTTTTTTTTAATGCATAGACACATTATGAATAATAAACTGTATGAAAAATAATAAAGATCAACAAAAAGTGATAGTTAAAATGAAGCAGCAACATCAACAAATGTGTATTCGTAAGTGAACGATTACACTAACATATATTTAATATTAAAGTAATTGCCATCAATAGGTGCTTGAAGCAATATACCTAGTTTAGCATATGTACTCTATCATTTTAGATTGTAGCATCTGGGAATGATGTTTTATTCAAACGAAAGCCACACAACATATACCTTGAGGAACTGAACAATGTTATGGTTAAGTTATTAATACCAAATACTGTATTTTTGTTTGTGCTTTTACTAGCCAGTCTGGATGGTAATGGTTTAGTTGTGTACGTTTATACATTCAAGATGAAATCTAAAACGGATGACAGATATTTCATTCCATGCTTAGCTGTTGTTGATATGATCGCATGCGGCCTTGGAGTATCATTTGGGATTTGTTTGAATTCTAATCCGTTGAACTTTCGAAAGGGCGTAATATGTAAATTGATCTGGAGTTTAAATCAATTTACTGCAACGAGTTCGGGTCTGATGATATTAGCAATTGCTGTGCAACGGTATATTAAGGTCAGTCGACTATCGAACTCTTCTATGAGTCTACGAAGTAAACGATTGACAATTATGGCAATCATAATTGTATCAATTGTTATATCACTGCCGTGTTTTGTCTTGTATGGCGAAACGGAGGTCCCATTGAAAAGCGAAAACAGAACAATTACTGGATACAATTGTGGCGCTTTGTCTAATGTGAACCGAAATTTTTTATTTGGTTATTCAGTTACGCTATTACTAATATGTTTAGCTGTAATTTTTGCGCTCATCGCATTATATTGCGTATTACTTCGTATCATATATAAACAAGTATCTTTCAGGAAGAGAAATAGATCAACCAAACGTTTTTTAGGCGTCAGTGTACATCATGGTTTCGAGAACAAAATTATAAAAGATTCTGGTTCAACTAATTTTGTAGATGCGGATTATTCTGTTTACAAATCTGAATCCTACAACACGGACATTGAATCAAAGACGACAAGCAACCAAAACGAGTGCACGAATGGAGGATTCGACATTATGGGTCATATGTCTACTGCTCCTTCTGCAATCCATACAAGACGAACAAAAAAATAATCAGAATTTTCAGTCGAATCAAACGCAAACATCGATTCTTTATAATGTTTTTCCTTATCATACTATTATTTTTTATCACCTATTTCCCTAGAATTGCATTGATGATTGTAGAATCTGTGAAAACAAGTTTCTGGGATAGGTTAACAGACGCTCAATACATCATAGTTTTATGTTTTTACAGAGGATATGTAATGAATAATGTTGTTAATCCTGTAATTTATTTAATATTTCATTCAGTTTTTAGAACATCTTGCAAACAACTGTGTTGTAGAAATTGATGAGACTACAATAATGTCAAAAGGATTATCACAGATATATTCTTCTAATTGTTCATGTTGTATTATTTATTCGTTTATAATATTTCAGATTTAGATAGCATTACTTCGATAGCATTCTGAAATCTAGAATATTTGCGACATACTTTGGATAAAATATGTTACAGAAGATAGTATACAAACGGAGGTATCAGCATTTCCCCTTTACGTTCATTTTATATACAAAAATCTTGTTTTTACAGATATCTAAAAAGAAAATTCGATTAATTACCCATTGACAAATACATTTCTACCCATTGTTATATTGCCTCTGTAAAACTACACCACATTGATATATTTGACATTCTCAAAAAATGACACATACGTCTGTGCATACCTTTACAGTGGAAGAGACCCTCGTGTAAAAAAATGAAAAAAGAAAAAAAAAAATTCATTGCTATCTTTTCAAATGTTTTGATGATTCTGTGTTAAAAGTCGAGTCCAGTGCATTTCCTCTTCCGATGGGACACTAACCATGAATCTACTGAAGCATACATGTATAAAACAACGACTTTGGTCATTGAATTACCAACATAAGGACGGCAAATAACTATAAATAATTATGATCATTAAGTTACCAGAACACGTATTAATGACAAGAACACTTAATATTTACAAGTACTCGACCCACGTACATCAAAAACATTGACGAGACATAGTATACATAAGTGGGCAATGCCCTTGTATGCATTTTCAACTTGCTGAATTGTATCTTAAAACCGTAAAAAAATGTATATATATACCACCTATGCTTACAAAGATACAGTCGATTGAAAGTTTTTGAAATAAGTCTATAGATGTATAGAATAGATATAAGAACTCTCCATCCAAGTCAAAATTCATAAAATTAAACCATTATAGGTCAAAGTACGGTCTTTAATACGGGGCCTTGGCTCACACCGAACAGTAAGCTATAAAGGGCCCCAAAAATTACTAGTGTAAAACCATTCAAACGGGAAAACCAACGGTCTAATCTATATAAAAAACGAGAAACTAGAAACACTTATGAACCACATCAACAAACAACAACTACTGAACATCAGATTCCTGACTTAGGAAAGGTGCAAAAAAATGCAGCGGGTTCAAACGTTTTAATGGTACCAAACCTTCACCCTTTTTCCTGAAACAATAGTGTAACATCACAACATAGAAAGACACACCATAAAATATCAACTGAAATAGCTTAACTCAATCAAAGGACATATTAACACGAGTGAAAATACACTGAACAAATAAATTTGACCTATGATACAATGCAAATACAAAATAAATAAACTAAGGGAAGAATAATAAAAGCAACATGTTATATCGGTATGAAATGTTAAACAATTTAAGAAAAACAATATGCTCGAACAAAAATATCAGCCATTTGCAATAACTTTAAACACAGGTATATGAAAATAATTTTGTTGTTCGGTATACGTGTACAGTTCTAATAGAGAAAGGAAATATTTTTACAAAATAAATAATTTTGATGTTCATAGTACGAATTGAACATTTATAGTACCAAACACTTATCAAAGCTGGTATATAGACCAGATATAACCCTGAATAACATTAAATAACAAAAAAGCATTACAATTAGTATCAACAGGTCAAATAAACAAGAAAGTGCGATTTGAGAGTACTCGCAGTTACTGACAGCTAGTTAAAAGCCAAAACAATTAATAGTAAAAAAATCATGCATCAGAGACTAAAATCAACTAAAACACATCCCAGGGATTTAGTATTTTAACGTCATGGACAGTCAAAGAAGACATGACTTGTGCAATGCCAAAAATTAATGTATCGACATACAGTAGGATAGTTAGGAGTTTAACCTCTTTATAGATCAAAATGAACGTGGGTGTGTCTTTATACATCCCGTTTGGATGTTGTATGTAAGATATGCATTTTTCCACTTTAAATTACAATTTCTAAAAATTTGTCCATAGACTTATTGCTATTTACATTTATTTAAAACAATATGAAAATATCATGGGGTCCCCGTATTCATTTATATCGCCCACATCTTGCGTCATGAAGTTATTTTTGTTTTGTCGTTTTGACTTTTTTTACGCTGTATATAGCTGAATTTTACTAGAAAACGAATCCGGTACCCTCTTATGTTCATCAAGAAGAAGCTGTTATTTTGATGCTTGTAAAGTAGCGATTAGGTAGAGATAACACAGGAGCGTATGCACTTGTTTGCTGAAAAATCTAAATTGGAGGATAACTTTGAGAATAAAAAAAGAAACTATAATAATTATAAAAGATATTTTTCTTTCTTGGCTATAACATTTTCATATTATTGCATAGCTTAAACGCACTTTTACTATTCAAAATTAATTTGAAACATACTGACGTAAATGATGCAAAAAGTGCATTACATTGTGTAATACTTTTTTAGTAACTGCGAATACTCCTAGATCGGTAGTTTGCGTCTTTTGTCATAAATCAAACTGTTTGTGTTTTCGTTTTCAAAACACTTGGAAGGTCAAATCAAATATGAAGGTACTGATATGGGTGCAATATCTCTTGTAGCTATTTCATGTTGTTGCATTGGTGGATTTGTTACAACGACAGGTGAAGTACATGTGTATTGCAACTAATGCATGCTACTAAACTTGATACCAGTATGACTGGAATACGTATTGGAAAGGACACTAATGATTCTTGTATATGTTACTTCTGTCATTGACAGTTCTTTACACTGTTAGCAGATGTATGTGTACAATAAATAAATTCATACTCTGTGATAATTGTCCATACATTGTAGCGCGCTTCCTCAGTCTAAATGTAACTGGTGTTATTTATAGGATGATAAAATATAGTTGAAATTCAAGAAATTAAATGCATACAATTCTCAGTAGTAATTTAAGAAAAGTTCCCTTGATCTTCCTAAAATATGAACCAGATCATAAAGACGTACGTGTATTATGTGTAACTTGTACTCGGTTAGATCTTCGCATTTTTCTCCCATTGTGACTTGTATTAATCCTTATTAATGTGTTGTTCCGCTCACTGACTCCTTGTGCATTTTAAAAGAAAGTCATTTGTCTTTCATCATTTAAAATGAGTTTCTTAATAATTTATAAATTTATAAACGGACAATTTAAGAATGGTTTGTTATAAATCATGCAGTACCGACGTACTGATTACTGAGCTAATAATACCCACCAGGACTAATATTCCACCAGCAGCTGAGCTGATAATACCAACCTGGACTGATAGTCCACCAGCAGCTGTATCGACCCAGTTCTGTAAACAATAAAAACAACATTTTAAAAATTGCATGCGTCCGAAGCGCTTTTATGGATGTGCCTTCATCGGAACGCTTACAGCCGAATGTTTAAACATAACATATTAAAAAAAAACTTTTTTAAATCAACTGTGCTTTCCTTCAGAAAATGTTTACTGAATCCGCCGGAGACTGTCTGATTTGTTTTATTTTAGATAAATGTTTTGTAAAAGATTGTTTGTTTTTGCTTCTTAAATATTGCTATTTGGGTATAACACTAAAAGTCATTTATAATAACATTAGATGCGCACTTTGAATCGGTACCGTACGTTTAAATTGATACAAAAAAAAAAAAAAAGGTACATAGCAGTATAACCTCTGTTCACAATAATTGACAAATCCTAATAAATATCGAACTTGATCAAGTACTTGGTACATCATTGTGTTTGTATGTCAAGGATAGAAAAAAGACATGCTAGAACATAATATACAGGGGCTGGTGAAATAAATGGAACACCATTGGTTCATTAAAATCACCCTGGTTTTGTTTATACTTTAGTTCTCACTCGAACCCCAGTGTCAAGATATAACCATAATTAACTGTATCTATGATATTCTTTATTTCAAGAACATTGGAATAAATTGGATTGGTTAGTCAACAATGTAACTTAACTATTTTTTTTAGTAACACGACATCACCTATAAAGCCGAAAATTAAATGAAAGGTTGATGTCAGCTTCTCTAAGTTATTATTTAGAAGCTTCCGAGTAAGTATACCTTATAAGAATAAATGAACAAGTCAGCAGACAGAGAGCGATAGTTAGAGATGCCAATTGTCTATTGAACAAAAGTCTTTCAAACGTTACACTGTTTAAACTGTATCCTTCAATTTGATTATTTAAGTTTCAGCGACCTTCCCAAAAACAAGATATTTGTCTATCTGCGAACAAAGTTGAACTATTCATTTCAGTCTATCGTTTGGTTAAAATTGATGAACACTTGTGTAAAGAGTAGATTCATTTTATAATTATACATGTTATTGAGTATCTATGTTATATGTTTCGGTGTATATTCTCCTTCTTGTGTACATGCGTACGATTATCTATTTTATATTGACAATACTTGATCATAACAAAAGGTTTGTTTCAATGTTGTTAAAGCAGATACCAAATTCATGGTCGTACTGGTACCCTACCGGCTTCGCAGGAAATTGGATGTATTGATATTTTATTATTTTACGGCAGTTGTCTGACTATAATAAAAGAAAATGAAAACTGCTCTAATGAAGTGTTTTTGACGACAGTGTCTTTGTTGAATTTATTGACAATTTGTATAGTCCCGAATTGATAAACAGTAAGCTACATTGTACATACAGATATCTTTAAATTTTGTGTCGTTTTGTTCTTTTTTCCACTTACATATACATAAGATCTCTTAAAATTCATTTTTTTTTTTAATTCAGTAAATAAACTGAAAGTGTTACTCTATCGATTACAGCCCATAGTTCTTTTGCTTCATCAGTGATATATGTTCGTTTTAAAGATAAATTGTATCAGTTGAACATAAAAAAAAAGATACCAGGTAACCAAGGTAAATCAGAAGCCAATAAATAAAAACATAATGTGATGAAAGACGACTGTCTTTCTGGCAATCGAAATGAAAACAATATTCAACAAAAACCTTAAAAATCTGAAAATCATGAAAGATGAACTAAACTAGAAGCGTACTTCGGAAGGCTTAGCAGTTCCTAACAATGAAACCTCTTCAATTTATTAAATTTATTAGATAATTTATATA